TTAATACAATAATGTAAACGAACCAAAAGCATACATACATACATACATACGTAGATATATGCACGGGAACGTCCATGTGGTTGTACACGAGACAAATACTTACTTACTTACCTGCTTGCTTACTTGCTTACTTAGTTTCGTGTCATCGAGTAAAGCTAGAGTCGGGGTCGTTACACAATTAATTGCTAACGTTGCAAATGGCAGGCTACCATACTTATGCCTCCATATGTATTTATAGAGGCTCTACTTCCGGCAACTGTGTTACGGAAAATATAAATTTTTTTTTTTTTTTTTTTTTTTTTGTGAAATATTTCAAAAGGGGAATAAATGTATATGTAACATACAAAGAGCATGGACGATTATTAGTTTTAAAATTTGGTTTAAACATTTTTAAGTAAATGCTAAAAACGCTGAAGGGAGAGAGCATGAAAGTCTATCATGAAAGTAAGACATCCTTTACTAGCCTTTACTCCCTTAGGAATTACCTTTCTGTTCGCATGCACTCGCTTCGCCCCTTAGTTAATGTATTCATGTACAAACAAATTAAAGTTTTCGTTTTCTTTTTTTTTTTTTAATGGAGACATTTAACCTAATTTTTTATGACAAAGGAAATTTTGTTGTTGAATAATTTACAGACACTTTGCATTAACAACTGCAGTGCGACGTACTACATTAAATGTCATCAATATACTTTAAAAGCGCCTAGAGTGAAGACGACAATCATTTCCCTTTATCCAGCATTAGTACTCTTACAACTGCTAGCAAGAGCATCTGTTATCCTCTTCGCATTTTTTTCGCTTTTTTTTTTTTTTTTTCTTTTGTTGTTGTTCTTCTTCTTCTTTCTACGTTCTGTTCTGTACGATTGACTAATCAGGCTTTAAATGTCATTTCCGTTTAGAAAGAAAATGTTTAAAAATTAGTTTTTGTCCCCTTAGCACAATCACTTGAACTGTATCATATTATTAAGAGAAAGAGCCAGAAGATTGGCTTTCGAAATCGAGTCTCTAGTATATTTAAACTCAATTAAAAAAAGCTCTCCTAAACGCATAATATACGTATGACGCATTTGTATGGATGCAAATGAACTGTGTTCAAGCAATCCGTTCAATGCAAGTAAACAAAGCGCTTTAGATTCTTTTTATAGGGAAAGTTTGTCTACCAATTATTTCGCTCATTTGCATTCATGTCAGATAATCTACATTGAGCTATTGAGCTATTCAGCTATTTGTTTGACAGATTGCTTTAGTATTTATAATGTAAGGGCACATAAATCGTAGGTCAACATTACACGACATTCGGCTATAGCACCTAATCGACTCATTCTCCGTAGGCTGACGGTTCGATATTGCGTTATGGGCAATACTATTCTATCCGATTTAGATGAATGCACATTTGCTATGCTGACTTATGCAAAAATCGATTTATAAATTTCGATATCCTATACCCGTTCCTATTCATTTTTCCTACAAGTGGATATAAACGATGACCCGAACGGAAAGAATTAAGAAAATTATACTCATGCATGGCCACCCTTTGCCCAATAGTCACCTATTCATATTCGTGATAATACGCATCATCAGTTATCAGGTATCATTTTGATGTAAAGACATACTTTTCATTATAATCCTTGTATTAAACGGTGTTGAAAATGTCAACCGACGTAAGCCAAATTTAGCAAAGTTAATTATGTTCTCAGAGGTTTTGTTATTTTTCGTCTACTTTCGTTATAAAAGCTATGAATTAACTTTAAATATTGCCGGCCTGCAAAGGATTACTTTTTCCTAAAACTATTTTTAAATTATTATTATAGACTGATTTTTATCATGAAATATCTCATAAAATATGATCTATGGGTTGAACCCAAAAATGCATATGCATGCATTGGATAGACAGATGGACAAACATCCTTGAATTAATTTAGGAAAAGCTTCGGAATCGATTATTGATCGATATAATATAGGGTGCATATATTCATACAAGGTCGTTCAAGTCGATCGTTTACAAGTAAACTGCATCTTTCTCCCCTTCGTTATGATGTATAAGACCAATTCATTATGATGTTTGACAGTGCGATGCGATTTTAAAAAAATGTTGCCTTAATCCAATTACAAGTTTGTACTGAGACGTAGAGAAAGTGTGCATAAATAATTCACAAAAACGATTTGCGGAAAAAATTGTTCAAAAGCCACATCGTTGTGCCGAAAGATCACATCGTCCATTGGGAAGAGTGAATGGATGAACGAATATAGACTCTTACGAATCGATATACTGGAAAAGTTCGATCGTCCATTCGGGAGAGTGAATGGATGAACGAATATAGACTCTTACGAATCGATATACTGTAGATTCCATTAAGAGATGAAAGAATTTGGAAAATAAATGCTAACGCATTGCCCGTATCGCCAAGTCATAAGTACTGCATTATTCCTACAAATAAAGTACGCAAGAAATGAATGACAGACGGACAGGGGGACTTTCGATTAGTTATCGAAATTAATGAAGAATGTATAACACTGTAAGACGTCTTTTGCATTTATACATATGCATATGAAGTTATAACGAAAGCACTAATAAAACTGGCTTACTTGTATTGCCCGCTTCCGGATATATGAGAATGCAGTTTTCCAATTGGGTGCTTTAGACGATTGTCGATTATTGTGCATGCACAATAAAGTATCAATAAAATTCAATTGCATAGAATTTGTGTAATGAAAATAAGTGGTGTTATTGAATGTTTACTTGTGCCGTGCTCACGAAGAGTTCGGCATTAATGTCTCACTCAATTTAATTATTCATAATTTAATTGAAGCTTAAACATTATGTTTCGGTTCATTATCACACAAACACTTTGAGGGAAAATATGTGGAAAAGTTTTTGGAAAATGTCAAAGCACTCTTGAACACATGCATAGCGACTTAATAGTAATATTTCGAGCATTATGCTACCATGTTCGTGTTGCTATGTGTGTTCGTGTTAAACATTGAATTTAGTTCGAATTCAAAATTGAACAATTTTCCACTCTTCTCTTATATAATAATTCCGCAATAAAAAAAAAAAAAAAAAAAAAAAAATTTCTAACAAAATATGCTTAATCGATGTAGCATTTCCAATTGAACACATATATATATATATATATATATATATGTGCTTTATATGGTTTGTGAGGCTTCCTTTTCGGGTGTTGCAAACATTATGACAAATGGAAGGAGTGTACTGCTTGAAGATGAAAAATATTTTGAAATTAATTGGTTCCACTTTCTATTTGCTCTCTTAAAGGATTTTTTATTAAAGACTTTTTTTCCATTGAATTTGTGATTGAGTGAAATGTTTCGTTGGTTTTTTTATATTTCATATGTAGATGTCAATACAGAAACTTACTGATGCTACGAATTCCGGCTACGTTAGCTCAGAAGAAACTGATTCACTACTGATTGCCACAACGCCTAAAGGAAAACAATCGGTTTTGCGACAAATCAAAATGAATTCAGCTAATGGACCAACAACGAACAGTATGACTTCCACGTCGTCCAGTAAACCAACATTGATCCGCCAGGATCGAACCTCAACATATCTAACTAGCCCGCAATTATCGCAGCAAACGCGGGTAGGATCCGATGAAAGCGAACGCAGCGGTATTATACAGGACGAAGATATAGAACAAGGTCTTCGTTCGTCAACAGTGCCTGACATAGAAGTACATCCCGAGGACCAAGATCATCAGCAGACTCACAATCTACATGTGCAACAACCGCAACAATCTGCCAAAGCCGCATCGACAAATGCATTAACGCAACAGTCACAGCAATTACAACCGACCATATCGATAACGAATTTGAATAACTCATCGTATCAGATTCAAGATAATACAAATTTAGTACCGTCATCATATCAAAGTCTGACAGCCAATCCTTCGCCTAGTGCACAAAGTCGTTGCCGCGCGTGCAGGAATTGTAGCCGGCGTGCTTCGACTACACCTTTTTCGGGGCAAATTGATCGCTCGACGTCACGCGATAGTGTTAAAAGTGCCTTTCAACAAGGAAATTTGGGTGGATCCGGTACAATAATTTGCGGAGGTTCCAGCAGCGCTTTACCGCACAATGTACCGCCCGTATTGGTAACGTCTTCGCCAACAAATGGATCTCGTATTATACGTCAAAGTTCGCAGCCCGAATCGAGCACAAGTGCAGTATTCTGCGGTGTACACAATTCATGCGGACACTCGCATACCGTACCGAATGTATCTTTAAAGCAATTACGTGATACTAATGCTGATGGCATTGCAGGCATAGCAGCCGATTCTCTTCGAATTAACGGTGGCATGCGTCCATTCAAGCAGGTAAGATTAATTATCTGTATACGTATGCGTGAAAATGATTTCCTTCTAACCCCTTTTAAATCATTTTTACATTTTATTGATGTGAAAAATTAATTGGAAATAAAAAATCCAAAAAGTGCATCCTTTGATTTTTTGTTCTTGTTGTTTTTTTTTTTTCTTGAAATGATTTATTTTTGAAAAAAATATCTTATGAATTTTCAAAACGAAGAACTATATCATACGGGGTTTAAAGTTGAACCTTTAATATTCACCGTAAAAAATAAAAAAACAAACGTCCAGTAAACGGGAGTTCCGGTAAGTTAAATGTGTTTATTCCCGATCCAAGCTCTAGACAGAGTTCCGCGCCTACAGATCATAGATTTATTCAAAAATTCTCAATCCTGAAGGTTATCGATGGAAATTCGATTACAAAGCTCTCCAAATCGCTGTTACTTAGATGAAAAAGTTTCCCCAATTCAGATACCAAGTGCAGGGTGTTCGCCGTACAGGTTTACTACTTACGATCACCGAACTGTAATCTCTTATTAGCATATGTAGGATGTCAAAAATTGTCTTGTGAGGGAGCGAAAATAGTGTCTTAAATATCATTAAGATTGAAACAAAGCAACTGTATGATCCGCTTCTTTCTTTGCCCGAAAAAGATGACGTTATATGGGTGATGTAGTCCCTAGCGAATGGCGATCACTACTACTATCGTCAATACATTTGCTCACGAAATGTGCATTAATGCTTATCTGGTGGATATCTGACCCATTATTAATCAAATTTTTTACGATCTACGATCCTATAGTTTTTATACCCACCATCTAATACGAGGGGAATATTCATTTTGTCAAAACTTGTGCAAGCCTCAGAAGCAAGCTGCAATGACCTCACAAATCACAAAGCACATATACGTCCCGGTCAGTATCAAATTCTGAATTCCATTGAGAATGTCCACATATCTGTCTGTCCGCTTGCGTAATGTCTGTGGCTAATATTCTCCTGGCAGGAACTTCAAATTTGGCAAAAATATTGCAAGTTCTTGAACAGAAATTTCTTCGTACATTCAACAATAATAAGAAAAAGCAATTGGGTCTACCCAAGCGATGGAGAATATAAGATAAGATGCAGATATTAGGTATAAAAGATTCGGTCATACCGGCATATAACTTTCCCACTTCTTCTTTAGTGCTGACGATTGGCAAGTATTGCAGAGATTTGGGCGACGAAGAGTCCTCGTATTAAGCGGAGAGCAGAATATTGCTGCTTTCAGTTAAATTTTGATTTCATTTTCCAAACGTGACTCGATCGCAGCTTGTTCATATGAGATATGAAATAAATCGAATCCTTCTTATATCGTAGAGGGTAGTAAACCTCTCTCGACTTACACCTTGCATCTACAGATATATCCGGGTATACAATATATATATAAATATTATATAAATTTTGATCCCTTCATAGCTCGTAAAAAATATCTTTCCTCAATGTGTTATTGAGTCATAATTGTTTGTCTTTATTTTAATGTCATTGTTTTAAATTTTGCCTGCTAGTTTTGTGTATGTTCGTTACACGGATAACGGAGGTCATCATTTGTTACAACACCTTTGCACATCATATGTCTCTCACTTACTTTCTCGCTCTATTCCCCTCTACCCCTCAACCCAATTTTTTTTTTTAAACCATTTTAATTGTATATTAATATGGAGAACTAACGCATATTATTACTTCAACTTAATTATTTCTCTAGGGTGTTCTGCTAATGCCTCGCACTTTGTCCGAAAGCAGAAAGCTGCGACTCAGAAGAGCTTTCACTGAGGCCACTAATGAGACACTGCATTGCTCCAAAATGGTATTTAATTAATTTCAATTGTGTGAATTCCCCAAAAATCCATAATTTATGTCCTCTTCTTTTCCTTTTTTGCATTTTCTTTTTCACCACACCATGATTTAAAAAAAAAAAAAAAGCTGAATAAATTTTAGACTTTAACTCTTAACCCCAACCACTTAAGTTAATGCTAAAACAAGCAATGTTGATTGATTCGTCACTTGCACCAACCAAGTTATAGAATTTAATTTAAAACTTGTGTTTAGTTGATTTGCAATCAACTTTCTCATAATTAGTTATTTTGATTTCGTTTTATTCCACACTTGTATGTTTTCTTATACACTTAGTGTACATATTAGCTGCGATTGCATGGACAAGGCAAAGGGATTTCTAGTCTGAAGTATTATTGTATGCACGCACTGGGCAAGGACAATTTAATGCTCGGCATGCGCTGCAATATACTGCTGCAAACTATTACCCCTTCATCTCCATGTTTTCTCAGTCATTTTGATTTTTCATTTCATTGATTATAGTCTCACAAAAGATATTTTATTAAATCTAGTTTAAATATCCACAATGCTCACCAAATGCTAATTTTTGCATGTGATGGATACTGTACATCGAATATCATGAAAATATTCCCAGTTGCTTATGAATATTTAATATTACTCTTTTATCATATATTCCCAATGTCGTGCTTTTTTTTTTTTTTATTGCAACAATATGCATAACTTTTTTGAAATCGAAAAAATACAAAACTTTTTCTTGAAAGGTGAACTTAAGCATCGAGGTTTAACAGGAGTCGCATTTCGATTGAAAGAAACACATGATCAAAATTTGATTACAATTAGTCGCGCAAAAGCTTATTTATGTAATGTCTCCTCCTGTATAAACGACGCACTGCAAGACACTGTATAGTAAATAAAGAGCGATAAAAATTCATTTTTAGCAAAAAAAAAATTTTTTTTTTTTTAATTTAAGAATTTTCGATGCAATTACGCTCTAAATACAACAACAAAATCATTCATAAGGTTAGCATAGCGCCTCTTTTACAGTAGCGAAAAAAAAAAACATCTCCGTTTTGGGGAGTAGGGAAAAGAAGGCTGCGACCTGAACAGGACCCATCTTTGCTTACTACAATTGTATTCCTACTCAATCATAAGAGCTTAGGTTTACTTGGTATATCAGAGCTTACTTTTTATAGGAACTTTTGTATGGAGTCGGATCAGAAGAATACATCTAACTGATCCAAGGCATAAACAATTAACTTTGATGTCACATTACTAAATTAAAAATTAGGTTCTTTTCCAAAAAACAAGCCCCCTTCTCGGAAGAAGGGACATAAGCGAGGGGATTGAAAGAATAAGCCCGGCCGAGCTTAATATGCCATAACACCGTTACTTACCAATTGTTGTCGATAAATTTCGAAGTATAAATTATTTAAATTAGGCGTTATATAGCGAGTACGCCAAAAAATTGTCCAATCGCTATCTTTCGGACAAAACACGCCAGCATCGATCTCGAATTGCGGCCTGCAGGTTGAACGCACGAATACATGAACAGGCGCTAGACCGATGGGCGCATAGACATATTTAAATCGATTCAGAGATCGATTCTGCATTTATCATAATAGGTCGAACTATCCGAATTCCTTCCAGCTGTTACACTCATTGGCTCTCACTTAACACCACACCACAAACAGTGTAGGTTATAAATATGACCCTATTGTCAAGAAAAATCATACCAACCCTATTAAGGTTTAAATTTTTAACTTCCGGTAAACGTGCAGCTAATCTATGTGAAACAATATGTAATTGTATTCACATTGAGTGGCGCAAGTAGTGTTTGATGTTCAGGAGCAAACTAAAGATTATAGGTTTTATGTCAGGCTTTATTTTACATATTTCGATCGCCACTTCTGCAATGATTGACTAAATTGTGTCAGTTATTGATGACACATTTCTTCTTTGGACGGCAGCATATCAAAGCAGCTAAGCCCCTCAAACGGGGTTACCACGCATTTTCGACTGCGCTGTCGATACTTTTAGCTCCACCGACTTGCACCATAACTTTCGGATTCGGCAGTAATTTTTTTCGAGTTAAATGAGGAAAATAATGCTTTCCGTAAACGGACTGGACTTATTTGAAGCTCAAAAATAACACGATATGCAGACGTGAGCCAACTAATTTATGCTTTTAAAGAGGGTGCTTTTATCCAGTATGTTATTGTACTAGGTACGTCTTCTTTTGGGACCGCGAATATATTATGTTCAAATCAATATCGAGTAAACTCGGTAGCTATGGCTTGATTATACACTCGATGTAACGAGCAGAGAATTTATAGCTATCGATACAATATTGCATGTGTCTTACTATCGAGTAAACAATCTTGTGTTTGTAAAATCGCTATGCCGTAACATATTCGAATTACGATCGATAACCATAAACCGGCCTCAATTAAAGGATAGTGTTTCCTGAACGTACGTGTACGTTTATTTTTTCGCTGATTTTATAATATTAATATGAAATTCGTTTACCGTAGACAACCAGATTTTATGGTGGATTTATTACAATAATGTATGTAATATTATGTATTTTAATTGGCCATCACATTAACTTAACCAAACTAACGGAATTATGTACTGTTTATAGGTTGAAAATTAATTACATAAAAAGAAAGACAGCATTAAGACTTTAAATATCACGTCATTTATAAAAGCGAGATATTTGAGTTTATTTTATACATTTGCATAATAGACAATCCCTTTTAAGCTTTTAAGTCTTAAGTAAGGATATGAGATTTTAAAGCTTTTAGCTTGAAAGTTGGTTGATTCTCTTCTTTCTCGATAATCCAAAATGCAATATAAAAGAAAAAAAAAACTGTGCAAAACAAATTGTATTTTGAAAAGCGCCAAAAAGCTTTTTGGGTCGAATGGCTTAAGGCATATATGTAATTCTCGCAATTGTCAAGAGAGGTCGCTATTCGAAATCATAGCTATCGAAAGCTTTTCACTATTTATATGGGCAAACACACATGCCACGATTACTCGTATGAGCTTTTTTTTCTTTTTTGAAAACACAAGCTTTCATATCTCTTTTCGGTTAAAATTGAAATTTTCTATTGTTCTTGAAAGCTTAAGTTAAAATTTAAAGTTTATTTTAGAACAAGCTAAAAGATTATAGTTGGCCACGGTAAGTTAAGTAAACAAAACATACGGACATATGGACAGACAAGCTTAGACCAATTAAGAGAGTGATTTTGAATCGATCGATACAATAAGAGATGGGTCGGTCTCAAGTCTTCCTGGATGTTATATACATCCGCACGAACTTAATATACTCTGGTATTTTACTTAAATTCTCCCAGATTGAATAACAAACGCTCCGTTGCAACATTTCACAAAACGTAATTCTTGTGAACCAATGAGAATACCCGTCAATAGAGCACATACAGCTGAGAGTAGTGCTTCGTTAAGTATTTATGATGCATAGCATCCATGTAACTTATTAGTAAGTTATTATTATTGTTATAAATTTTGAACTCTTGACTTTTAAGGGAAATTAAACTTCTAGTATACAGTATATATAGAATACAATGATATTATATTGATGGTATTATATTGATCTATGAACTGTTGTGAATCGTTGGTGAATTGTTCGAATAGCATTTGGCTTTTAAGGTTTACCATGCACGAATTCATTAACTGACATTCTCTATTAATAATGGGACCGGTAGTGGGATAGAAAGAAGTGCCAATCCAAATGGATAGAATGTCTTGTGAATATGATAGACAGCTTAGTAAAGCCTTGTTTAGGCATTCCAAAGTTTCGATGATAAATTCATTATTCTTTAAGCGTCACAGCAGTATCCCATGACTATCAATAGCATGTTCCTTTAAATCAATCGTTATACACAAAGGTTATCTACGACAAATCCGTTTTTGCGATCGAAAAGATGACGTTGTGTGTTCTTTGAAGAAACTATAGCGCATCTGCTGTGGCTTCAAGTCTAGAAACTGTTCAATGGCGTGCAATTATCATAGTGTTATGCACTACGATATAGTTTTACTTGTACATCACCTTGAAGATCGTTTAAAATCTGACTATAGACCTATATATCCTATACATATCAAGGGCAAGATATAAGCAATATCCAACTTTTTGTTATATTAATCGATTAGGAATTATTTTCCGAATTATTTTATGTATGTCTATCCGTCTATTTGTCTGATATCTGTCTAGCTACTTTCTCGTTCAAGCTAGAGATTGCAATTTTCCGAACATTTTAACGAAATTACCTGCACTGACATATTCTAGGTCAAGATCGAAAACTGTGTAAAACGGGATTGGATTGGATCATTTTTGCGACCATTCCCAATACAATTTAAAGATATCTTCTCGAAAAAAATCCATAACAAATAAAATAAATGTGGAAAGTTGAGAGCGGATGCAATATCGTTTTTGGATCGCTACCCATGTGGACATTTTTAAAAACATTACACCCTTATGTGAAATATGGATGATAAGTATTAGCCTATCGAATAGCGATCGGGCGTATAAATTTGCTGCGGTCAGTTTGGACTACAAACATGTGTTTTTCGGAGCCCCGTCTCATAAAAATGTTCCGATGAAGGGGAAGCATTTGTATGGTGATCAGACATCATTTTTGTTTTTTATTTTATACGTTATTTATTATAATTCCGGTACTATGCATTCATTGGAAGGAGTAAAAGCAAAAGTAATTGGATAATGGTTATCAAAGGATTCAATTTGTTCTGAATAAATTTTTGCTTTCGATTTTGGTTTTACTTTTCTTCTTTTAAGACTTGCAGTAAAATTTACAAATGTTACTTTCTTCTTTTTCTTTTACTTTTATTCCTTATTTTTATTTATTTATTTTTTTCTTTGTTTTTGATTTTTATCTGCTAAATACACAATTTAGTATAGTTTTCGTGATTGAGATTGTAATTAAAATATAAAACAAAATATTTAAGAATATATATATATGCAAATGCATGCATTTGTATTTATTCATGAGTGGAATATATATATAGTTTGCATGCGAACTAATATGCATACCTTCACGTAGGCATATATGTGTACAGCTTAGCATAGATATAACATAATTACGTAATAAAGCCGGACTGTTGACTAATAAAAATGCGTAACAAAGTATGAAATGCACGTATGCCGCATGGGGAATGTTATACAAATGTAAATACATGCAACGAAACGTTTCGTAAACTCTTGAAGATGAAAAAACTTTTGCCGACTTTTAAGGTAGATAAAAACCACTCACACGCACATGCCGCAAGGGATATTAACAAAACTCGACATGCATTGTATTAAAATGTAAATGAAAACAAAAAATTTGAAAACTTCTTAAAAGTAAGCGGACACATTGGCATTAATTAAAGTGCTCGCTTTTAAGCACTCAGAAAAAGTCATCTTATAACTTTTAATACGTACATACATGCTTACATATATAAATGCATTCTCGATACTGCTATCTGAGACGATTTCGAGGAGTGGATGACTCTGATGTTTCAAGAAACTCAAGCAGAGATGACTCTGCTGTTTCACGAAACTCAAGCACGTATGCAGTCCATACTAAAGAAGAATTGTATTTGAAATTTTGCATAAATATTGAATATATCTACGATTTCTGTTCATCTGAATTCTTTCGTATAATAAAGAAAAAATGTCGACTACTTCGTGAGAAATATGAAAGATTGGCACACATAGTCGTGTAAAAGTTTCCTAACTCTTGCAGCTATCGTCAAGAGATCACCGAATTACTAAATCGATGGTATCACAATTTCATATGCATGTTATGCAAGCAAGTAACTTATGAGGGGCTCAGTCAGTTGAAAAAAAAAAAAAGACCGTGTGAGAAAAGTGTTAGGTGTATACCTTTTTTCTCCTCCTTACAATGAACCCTGTGTTAAAATTGGTCTAGACGGGCATGTACCCATCCATACGCATGTGTTTGGAACGCAATAACCCAAATGCCTCCCAAGCGGCATAACTCATGCATATACCGGATAATGTTAATTTATTCAAACATTATCGAGTATTCCATTAATGCTTTAGATTATTTAAAAAGTATTGAGCTAAATAATGCAAATATTTATATTTAGTATGAAAAACGAATGTGTGTGTATATGTGACCGGGTATTGAGGGAATCAAATGAATGTTCAAATTTGATCGGTGCAATGCTCATTACTTTTTTGACAGTGCGTGACTGTTGCATTTACTTGTTAATGTGTTCTTGTGCGTATATCGCGTTATTTTTTTAAGATGATAAAAATATATAAATACACTAAATACATGCAATGTAATAGAAATTGTTCACTCATGCAAATAAGATGTTATTCACGCAGTAAATGGTGCATTTATGGTTTCAGCATGAAGCGCGTTTATTACATGCGCTATCTAAAAATGATGTTAAACGATTTTTTTCTTCGATATGATAGATAGATATATTAATCAGAGACTTTATATATCTACATCTATATATATATCTATACATATATTCATATTGGTCATAAGTGTCATCGTTTGTCAGCTTTTATTAAGATGTTAACAACCGAAAGCATAGCATATATATTTTTGGTTTATCTCGGGTATACAAATAGCCGTAGATTTACTCAAACACTTGAAAGTTTTGAAAAATGTTGAGCTTAAAAAAAATTCCTGACTTTAGAAGTTATATGCAAAGCTCAACCTATGCGACTGCGAACGAAATAAAAAGAAATGAAGTGAAAGGAAAAAATGAAATGAGGAAATCGAATAAAATGAAATGAAGTGAAGTGAAGTGAATTGAATGAAATTGATAAAACAAATGAATACAGTAATTAAATGAAATAAATTTGCGGAGTAAAAGAGAATGCAATGGGTTAATGGAATGAATCAAACGAATGAATGAAATAAACGTATATAAGTAAACTAACCTAATGAATGAACTGAATGATTTTCGACTTTCCAAAGAATTACTTGATATTCTTCAAAAAAACTTTGCACCTACAGGACACAGCGATCCCAATTTGGATAAAAATATTCTTGCTGTAAGCATTACGAACAGAGTAAACGAGATGAGCTAACGAAATGAGTCAAACGAATGAATGAAATAAACGTATATTCGTTTACTTGTACGAATATAATGAATGAACTGAATGATTTTCGACTTTCCAAAGACTTACTTGATATTGTCCAGAAAAACTTTGCACCTACAGGACACAGCGATCTCAGTTTGGATCCAAATATTTCTGCTGTGATCATTACGAACAGAGGTTGTGATAAACATTATCTCGAATTAATCATGTATTCGAGCCGTTAGTAGGCGAACATAACCGTGTTATATAAAGTTTATCTCAAAATTTATCCTCTCCTGAATTTAAATTAAAAAAACCAAAAGATATTTATTTTTTATTTATTTTTTTTTGTTAAATGTATGTTGTGAGTAAACGTACGATGGCCAAAGAGAGACAGAAATATATACAATTGTAAATACAATATATCATGAAAATAGACATTTCAATAGATATACGTGTATGCGTATGTACATTTGTACTTGGTACTTATAGGTAGATGTACACATTTATTTCTAAACATTTAAAAATAAATTAAATTGTTTCGTACAGTGTTTCATTTTTTTTTTTTTTGGCATGTACCTACACATGTATGTGTGTGCAATTACATCTGCACATATTTGCATGCATAAATATATGTTTCGGCATACATCACATGGGAGTATGTTAAGCTTTCTATTTTATATGCGTTATAATCTAATGTGACATTTCTAAATTCGTGGCGAGAGACACAGATTGAAAACGAGAGAGAGAGAGAGAGAGGGAGAGAGAGGGAGGGAGTCATTATACATATGAAACATATATAAAAGCAGCCATTGATTGTGTACAAAATGCCTTATAAAAATATTTTATTTCCCTTATAAATGTATTTTACACCTTATAAAAGAAATTGTATGTAAATCCTAAATAACGGACTAGAGGAAACCGTTTCGTGACTCTCAATGAAATTTAAATTTCGCTCGCACAGAATTTGTCGTACATCAGCTAAAGACAATTTGAAAATCCATTCTTTTTTCTTTATTTTTTTCAATGCGATCAGAGCATGTTCCCCATTTGTGTGGGCGCGGTTGTGGTCAACATCGATTTTAGGCCACAAAGGAGGAAAGGGAAAGACGTAGATGGAATAAAAAGCATTTTCCTGATAAGATCCACATCCATAACTCATCCATGAAATGTTGCATAAAGTCAAAATATCCCATGCGATATTTTTTCGAATATTCGACTCGAGCTGCAGTTGAATTTTTCTTCTTTTTTTTTTTTTTGGTCTTTATATTCATATTTATACATTCCAACATTTGTGCATGTACTTCAATTTTTTTTGTTGGTTTTTACTTCAAGTGAAACATATTTCAGTTCTCACTTTTATGATGACAACATATCAAAAGCCAAACAATATAAGGAAAATGAATTTAAATCTACGAAACATTCACATTTATACGTACATATGCAGGCATCATCAGTGTAAATAGAAAACGGATTCCGTTTTTGATGGTAAAACTTGAAAAGTTAATATTTTAACAAGCTTAAAAATTAAGAATTAAAAAAATATAAAAATAAGTAAAATATATGAAATTAGATATTCGGGGAGACACAACGTTCAAGTATTACTTCTTGCGACAAAAAGGTGCATGAATCTTTTTTTGGAATTTTTTTGAACTCAAGGAAATATGACTCGGGCATGTGCCGTCGAGCACTGTCAATGGCAATTGTCCGTTTCTGTATCGGCTGACATAAGCATTTTCTTGTCATTATTATCAGTTTAGATTCAAAAGTGAACTGAATGAATCTATCAAAGGATTGCGAAATGCTTTGATACGTTTCTGGTCCTTTTAAGATTTAAAAGTCAAATATTATTATCATTATGATTATTATTACTACTAATGCTAATGGCTCTTTCGTTTTTTCTTAAAAGGCGGTTTGGATAGTTAGTTCAGTTGCTTTAATAAAATTAAATATTTTATTGATATTATGTTCTCCATCTACTTGCAACGTGTCCGTACGTGTAGACGTTCCGAAAATGAATTGGAAAAAGTCTTGATACTCACAAAGCATATGTTTAAGTGGAACATTTTCCCGATAGTTGCAAACTGTAGGAGTAGTTCTTTTAAAGATCCATTGGTGTGTTGCAATAATAACGCATTCAATTTCCTCCTCTTAAATACTTTCATCGGGGATACACATCGAGATACGGGATATGGGATATAGGGTACGATGCTTAAATGCGATATACGATTAAAATCGAATCAATGATTGTACACTTTTTATTGCATTTAAATAGAGTACACATTAGTGTCGGGCTATAAAGGATTCGATACCAACGGAGAAAAATTTCTTTCTCATTTCAATTTAGTTTACTCTGCGGTCTTCTCTACCTCGAAAACTATGCATCATATAAATAAGTTGCAACATCCTCTAAATCACTGTATATTGCAGATTCGTTTGCAATTAGCAAAAAGTTTCATATCTTCTCTTAATGTTGTGGACGTAAAAAACTTTTATTGTGTTTTTTTTTTTTTGTTTTGCCGAACAAACTTGTATGGACACGTTAGAGTATGTGAGTATTTTACATTATATGCAAACAAACTGCTTACTTTGTGAGTCTCTTTATCACAGCATACAAGGTCTGTTGTAACAATATAATAAGAAGGGTAGGCTTACACAACGCACTACACTTCCAAATAAGCATTACAACATCACAGTGTACATGTGATAAAAAAATACTTTTTTTCTTTTTTCCAAGTTAATTAAGAGAGTAACACCTTTGCAGCACAGCGCAAGAAAAATACGTTTTTTGTAAATTTGATCAAAGGACAAATAATAGGATAGTAATAATTGGAGAAGTTATTGGGCATATATTTGAGCAATTGATCCAAATTTTAATCAAAAAAAAAAGTTAAAAAAAAGTAAAAATAGTGTGATCTACTTTTTTATATCTAGCGAACTACGTATGGGACTGCAAAGTTATTGAAGTTTGTACGGTTAGCGCGTCCAGCAAAGCAATTAAATACCATACATTACTTCGCTTAATAAACTACTACGCGCTACTACACGCAGTAATCGGAAACGGGACCCGCTCGAAATCATTGCCAATAGCGTTCGTCCTTGGGTGAAGTTACATCGGTGTACCAAATTTGATCAAAGTATCTTAAAAATTGCAACCTGAAGGTTGACAATAGATTGGCAAACCTCAGACGAACAGGCCGACACATAAGTACAGTACGGCACAGCTTCTTCTGTACGTCATATACATCCGCAAAAACTTAATACACCTATTGTAATAAGGAAAGTGGAGTGTAAAAGAAAGTGTTAAGACCGACTGATCAAAGAAATTCTACGTATTTCACTAGAGAGTGTTGTTTTAAAGATATCGTAAAAAATTGGAAAGAAATAGTGAAAATTTTGCTGTTTTGGTAAACCGTTTCTCAAGGTAAGCGTGTGCAAAGCCTTAGAAGGTCTGCATTAAGGACATGCTTCCTTATTACAATAAATTGTTTTATTAATTTTCGCAATTAGTCGGCAGAAATGGCCCTATTGCGCTATTTTATATATAATATTTTAAACTTGAGTGTTATGCTGTTACTGCTGCGTCTGCCAAAGAGAGGATCGTAGGTTTTGCGCTTAAAATTTTTCGAAATGATGGAGGAAACGGCAAGGCAAAACTAGTCGAATTATTAGCAGACATGAAAAACTTCACGTTAAGGTTTTAATATCTTGGGAAAAACTTATAATCCATCGCACATTCATATCGACTTAACGGTTACTTCAGTCAAGCTACGTTAACGTTTTTCCGAATGGAAACTGTTTTAAATCAATATAAATACTTTCTGAAAGGATTTGCTACCTATGAATTTTGAACGACGCATTGAATGAGTTTTTCTCACATATTCTCTGGATGGTTCAACGTATCTATCTATTAAGTCGAAAATAATTTTTCTTTTTTTTTATAAATTACCGAGCCCTTGTGCTTGTGTGGGCGTTAGATGTATTGGATTTGCTTTTCCCTTTGCATAAATTCGGACAAGTTAAAAGAAAATGTCCCACTACTTTTGCATCACATACATATAAACATGTACTGTTTATTTATATTTTGCCCGATGAGAGAGAAAGAGAAAGTAAGGGCGGTAGCGAGAGGGAGAGAGAGAGAGAGAGAGAGGGAAAGAACGATCGAGAGCATATTCTTTCCTCAACGCATAAGAACCCTTGTGAAATATTATTATGAAATTTAGCGATGAAAAATTTAAGAGAGACAGACATTTATTATAATAAAAAAGAATTGACGCTTATTTTGAAGCAAGCACCATCCTTTCAAAATTTTAAATAAATTGTTTCCCGTCCCCCCTCACAGGTTATTTACATGAGCTTTCATAATATTCATATAAATATGTTAGACAACAGAGACTTCAATCGGATTATGAACAGTTTTGCAATTAAGATAAAATTTCTTCTTCTTTCTTGTATATATATACTCCTAGTGATGTGCACATATAATCAACGAAAGTACAATATTGTTTACTCTTTAAAAAGTTTATATGGAGCAAGACCATTTCCACATCCATACTTTTGGTTGAACCTTTTCATGGGTCGTAGATGTTTCATTATGTCATTGCATACAAAAAAAACCAAAGAGGTTTCGAATTTCTTCACCTACGCTCTTTCGAATATTGTGTGTAACAATTTGTAAATGTGTTATTAACACTCGCAAGGTACCTTTATAAAGTCTATACTCATATTCTACACTTAATATATGTAAGTTGATGCGAGAGGTCGCGTTGTAGCAGAGCATTCAGTCATCGTAAATGGTTCATTGTAATGAAATCATAAAAGTCGTTACCGAAAAATGTTAAAATATTAATTTTTCCCTTCTTTTTGATAAGATCTGGCAAAATACATCGAAAACGCAAGCAAGTGTGCACATCTTCAATCATCAATATGAAGTATTTCCAACTGTCAACTATATGCTCGTAGGTGGAAAAAATTGAAATAAAAATTCAACAATTGAACAAAGGCTTGGTTTACTTCACCTGACTTTGCGTTTTTATAACAATGTTTTATTAAAGTACTATTATTATTATTATTATTATTATTATTAGTATTAATTTAATCAGAGAAATAAACTGTAAGACTGAAGTCTTAAAGCACTAGCATCTAAGGATTCTTTTCATACCCTACACCACTTGTGGTACAGGATATATTAAGTTGGCGTCGACGTATGTAACAGATATAAGAGCTTACGATAGACTCATCTTTTATTCTAACGATCGATTCAGAATCGTTTTCTGACGCCTGTCTGTCCTTCGGA